CCCTGTCCCCCAGGACGATCTGCACGTGGTGGACACTCTGGAGCTGCCCAGCGCTGACCCCCGGTACCTGCAGGACCTGGCCCAGTTCCGGCACTGGGGACACTCCGTGCTCATCGTGGACGTGTGAGAGAGGGGGACAGGGCTGGGGACACCTTGGGGACACTTTGGGGACACTTGGGGACACCCCTGTCCCTTGTTCCCAGTGATGAGTTCCCGGAGAACATCAGCGCCGCCGCCGAGGGGCTCAAAAGCATCAACCTGATCCCGGCCCTGGGTGAGTGCCCTGCCCTGGGACACCTTGGGGACATGCTGGGGACAGTCTGGGACACCCTGGGGACACCCTGGGATACTCAGGGACATCCTGGGGACACCCTGGGGACACCGTGGGGACAGTCAGGGACACCTTGGGGACACTCTGGGGACACTCTGGGACGCTCAGGGACACCCTGGGGACACCCTGGGGACACTCAGGACCCCCTGGGGACACTTGGTGACACTGCACCGATGTCCCCGCAGGTCTGAACGTGCACAGCCTGCTCAAACACCGCACGCTGGTGCTGTCCCTGGGCACTCAGGGACACCCTGGGGACACTGGGGACACTCAGGGACACCCTGGGGACACTCAGGGACACTCTGGGGACACCCTGGGGACACTGTACCAATGTCCCCTGTGTCCCCGCAGGGCTGAACGTGCACAGCCTGCTCAAACACCGCACTCTGGTGCTGTCCCTGGGTGCTCAGGGACACCTTAGGGACACTGGGGACACTCAGGGAGCCCTTGGGGACACTTGGTGACACTGCAGTGATGTCCCCACAGGGCTGAACGTGCACAGCCTGCTCAAACACCGTACACTGGTGCTGATGCTGGGTCCTCAGGGACACCTTAGGGACACCCTGGGGACACTCAGGGACATCCTGGAGACACTCAGGGACACTCTGGGGACACTCAGGGACAGCCTGGGGACACTGTACCAATGTCACCATATGTCCCCGCAGGGTTGAACGTTCACAGCCTGCTCAAACACCGCACGCTGGTGCTGTCCCTGGGTGCTCAGGGACACCTTAGGGACACTGGGGACACTCAGGGAGCCCTTGGGGACACTTGGGGACACTTGGGGACACTTGGGGACCCTGTGCCATTGTCCCCGCAGGGCTGAACGTGCACAGCCTGCTCAAACACCGCACGCTGGTGCTGTCCCTGGGTACTCGGGGACACCCTGGGGACACTCAAGGACACTCTGGGGACACCCTGGGGACACTCAGGGACACCCTGGGGACACTTTGGGACACCCTGGGGACACTTGGGGACCCTGTGCCATTGTCCCCGCAGGTCTGAACATGCACAGCCTGCTCAAACACCGCACTCTGGTGCTGTCCCTGGGCGCTCAGGGACACCTTGGGGACAATCTGGGACACTCTGGGGACACTCAGGGACACCCTGGGGACATTGGGGACACTCAGGGACACCCTGGGGACCCTGTGCTAATGTCACCACATGTCCCCGCAGGTCTGAACGTGCACAGCCTGCTCAAACACCGCACGCTGGTGCTGTCCCTTGGCTCAGGGACACCTTAGGGACACTGGGGACACTCAGGGACGCTTTGGGGACACTCAGGGACCCCCTGGGGACACTTGGGGACACTTGGGGACACTTGTGACACTGCACTGATGTCCCCGCAGGTATGAACGTGCACAGCCTGCTCAAACACCGCACTCTGGTGCTGTCCCTGGGCGCTGTCACCTTCCTGGAGCAGCGGCTGCTGTGGCACGAGCGCCGGTACTCGGCCCTGTACCCGCTGGCACTGCCCTACAGGGACCTGGCAAACGGGGTGCTGGCACAGCCCCCCAATGCCGGGTGACA